ATGCGGTCATTAAGGGACAAAGCTGAAGGATACCTGGGACCAGCCCGACACTTAGGCTGGGAGAACCATTATGTTCGTCCAACAGAATATCTTGATAGTGTTAGACATCACCAACGACCAAAATTAACTATATGACGATATTATGACGATATGTCTCATACTAAAACTAGGATATGCCTTTAACGCTGACATCCTCATTACTTCAGTGAATGTTTTAATCCTTAAAGCAGTTTATGCGGACGTTTCACCGTGAAACCTGGACGATATAATCTGAAACATCTTAAAGTTGACCATCGCCTTGAAGGAAAACTGGGGACTCTTACTTTCTTTTGAGGTTATGTGCGTCCGTCCGCGTGGCCTCGTGTACACACATGTGCGCATATCTCCGTGTGTAATCGCGTAGACCATGTGTAGAAAGCCCGCAGGAACATTTACGAGAGAAAGAAAAGAAAAAAAAACGAAGATGGGCGGAGAACAAGAGAGTTTTTACACCTTTTTTTTTCTTCAGTCTTCCCTTTTTTATTCATTTTTTTTTTTATCACACCAGCGTAACTAACAACTTTCTTCAATACGACGACATAAAAAAAGAGTAAGAGAGAGAGAGAGAGAGAGAGAGAACTAGAGAATTAAAAGAAGGGGAAAAAAAAGTGACAGTGACTCAGCTAACTCGTAACACCTCTGGATGGAAATGGTATTCATCACCCGGTCTCTGTGTCTCTTCTTCATCAGACTCTTCTCAGCCCCCCGCGGCGGATGGGAAGGGGGAGGGGGGGGGGAGAATAATGGCAGGGGAGGGAGGAGGAGGGGGAGGGGGGAAATAATGGCGGAGGGAGGAGGGAGAGGGGGGAGGGTAATGGCAGGGGGGAGGAGGAGGAGGGGAGAGAGGGAGGGAGGGGAGATGAGGAGGGGAGGGGGAGAGGAGAAGGGGAGGGTAATGGCAGGGAGAGGGAGAAGGGGGAGGGTGGCAGGGGAGGAGGAGGGAGAGGGAGAAGGGGGAGGGTAATGGCAGGGAGGGAGGAGGGAGGGGGAGGGAGAAGGGGGCGGTGATGGCAGGGGAGGAGGAGGGAGAGGGAGAAAGAGGGGAGGCAGGGAAGGAGGAGGGAGGGGAGGGGTAATGGAGGGGGTAATGGCAGGGGAGGAGGAGAGGGTAATGGTAGGGAGGAGAGGAGGGGGGTAATGGCAGGGGAGGTAGAAGAGGGGAGTGATGGCAGGGGAGGGAAGAGGGAATGAGGTGATAGGGGGTAGAGGGAAGGAGGAAGGTGGATGGGAGAGGAGAGGGAGGGAGAGGGGATGCGAGGGAGAGGGAGTGGAGGGTAATAGTTGGTGGTGGGTGAGGGTAAGGGAGGAGAGAGGGTAAGTTGGGGGGGGGAATGTCTGGCTGCGTTAGACGGTTGAGTGAAAGTGGATGCGAGAGAGAGAGAGAGAGAGAGAGAGAGAGAGAGAGAGAGAGAGAGAGAGAGAGAGAGAGAGAGAGAGAGAGAGAGAGAGAGAAGAGAGAGAGAGAGAGAGAGAGCGAGCGAGAGACAGACAGGTAGACAGCGAGTGAGTAAGAGAGAGAGAGAGAGGTGAGAAGAGGAGGCAGGGAAAGGACAGGAGGAATTTGAGGATGAGTAACAGAATGAAATTAGAAGAGTGAAGTAGAACAAAAAGAGAAGGAAGAGATGAGAGATAGAGGGAAGAGGCGTGGTAGAAAAATGAGGAAAATAAGGAAAAAAGAAAGAGAAGGCGATAAAAGGAGGAAGAGGAGAAGGAAAATTAAGAGAGTCGGAAAGTGAAGGAAAGGAAGAAAGAGGAAAAGGGGAATGACGAAAGAGGGCGAAAGAAAAAAGAAAAACAGGGGAAAGAAGTGAGAGAGAGAAGTGGAAAGGAAATGAGAAAGGAGGGATAGAAAATAAAGAATAACGAAAAGAAAAAACAAAGACAAAAGAAAGAAAAGCAATGAGGGAAAATAAAAAAGGAAGAACGAGAGGAAGCGAGGAAGATATACATAACAGAAAATAAGAAGAAAACTAAGAAGATATATATAATTAACAAAAAAAAAAAGAAAATGAGAGAGAAAGGGATGACATACGAAGTAACCCGAGAGAAAAAAGAGTGGAAGGAAGAAATGGGGAATAAAAAAGAGGGAAAGGGGAGAGGGGAAATTATCAATTAGAGGAAGGGGAAAGAAATGAAAGGAGGAAGGAAGGGCCAGGTTAATTATCCCCGGAGAGGGTGGGACTTTTGCTTTCGTTGTGGGAATGGCTGCTCTCTCGTTCTCTCTCTCTCTCTCTTTCTTTCTCTCTTTCATTCTCTGTCGCTGTCTGTCTCTGCCTGTCTGTCTCTGTCTGTCTGTCTGTCTGTCTCTTTCTGTCTGTCGTATGTATGTATGTCTCTCTCTCTCTCTGTCTACCTCTCGTTCTCTGTCTGTCTGTTTTCTGTCTGTCTCTCATTCTCTTTCTGTCTCTCTCTCTCTCTCTCTTCTCTCTCTCTCTCTCTCTCTCTCTCTCTCTCTCTCTCTCTCTCTCTCTCTCTCTCTCTCTCTCTCTCTCTCTCTCTCTCTCTCTCTCTCTCTCTCTCTCTCTCTCTCTCTCTCTCTCTCTCTCTCTCTCTCTCTCTCTCTCTCTCTCTCTCTCTCTCTCTCTCTCTCTCTCTCTCTCTCTCCTTCCACTTTTCCCATTTGTCATCTGGAGTACATCCCATCAAGGTGAAGTCTTATCTTTTGATAAATGATCCTAGATTTTCCTTCTCATTGTACGTGTCATTTCCCGTTTCAAGGTCATGGGAAATCGGTCTGTATTTTCGCGAAATTCCCATTCATATAATTTACTTTGTTCTTATAGTAAATAATTAATTTATAGTAAATAATAATTTACTTTGTTTTTATCGTGGAGTGATAGTGGGAACAGGAGAATATTTTTAGAGTATGAAAGAAGTGACGAAGATAGTATATGTCTGTCTATTTGTCTATCTATCTGTCTGTTTGGCTATATATCTATCTATTTATCGGTGTGTGTGAGTGTATATATGTATATTCATCTAACGTATCTGTGTGTGTGAATGAATGCATGTATATATGTATATTCATTTATATATCTGTGTGTGAATGGATGCATGTATATCTGTATATTCATTTATATATCTGTGTGTGAGTAGATGTATGTACATATGTATATTCATTTACATATCTGTGTGTGTGTGTGTGGTGCATGTATATATGTATATTCATTTCCATAATATGTATATATGTATATTCATTCATATATTCGTGTGTGTGAATAGATGCATGTATATATGTATATTCATTTACATATCTGTGTGTGTGTGTGAATAGATGCATGTATATATGTATATTCATCTATATATCTGTGTGTGTGAATAGATGCATGTATATATGTATATTCATTTCATAGATGCATGTATATTCATCTATATATCTGTGTGTGTGGATGCATGTATATATGTATATTCCTGTACGTATCCGAGAAAGAAAAGGTGGCAGAGAATTACTCCGACCGCAAATTATGTACAATCACGGATTATGTTCAGCTCTCTAATCCTAATCCAAGGTCACATCGGAAGCTAAGGCTCGTTAGCAGCATAAAACATCTTGAAGGATGAGGTTCCTTCCCTACTTTCCTTCCTGCCCTCTCTCCCCTCCCCTCCTGAACCCCCTTCCCCCCTCCCTCTCTCTCGCTCGTACCCCTTCACTTCCCGCTGTCTTCTTCACTTGCTCTTCTCCCTCTCTCTCTCTCTCTCTCTTCGTTCTCTCCTTGACTCTTCTCACTCTCCCTTTCACCACTTTTTATTATTCTTCTCACTTTTGTCCCTCTCCCTTTAACTCTCCCTTCACTGCCTTATCCCCCCCCCCCCTCCTCCAGTCGCCTTCACCCCTTTACTCCCCTTTCCCCTATCCCCCTTCACGCTCCTTTTCTTCTTTACACCTTTCTTACTCCCCTCATCCTCCTTTTATTCACCCTTCTCCTTTTCCCCTCTCACACCCCTCACTCTCATAACCCTATTTCGCCTTTTCACTTCCCCTCACTCTCACAGACACCCCTTTACCCCCCCCCCTCTCTCTCTCACTCTCCCTTTCACCCCCTCTCTCTCACTCTCCCTTCACCCTCCCCCTCTCCCTTTCACTCCCCTCTCTCCCTCTCTCTCCCCTCCCCCCCAACCCCACCACCCCGACCCCCACACCTCATCCCTCACCCCTTCCTCCTTGAACAGACGATGTTAATCTTCATTACTGTCCCCCCTACCCCTCCCCAACCCACACTAACCCCCCCCCCCCCAACCCCACCTCCGTGCCTCCGCCAGCACCTCGCACCGTGACACCTGGCCATTACCGACGGGCCGGTCCGACACGCCTAATTAAGGGCCCTCTTTTAACCCTTTTTCCCCCGTCGTGCGAGTCGTGGCTTTTCTCGTACAGGTGAGAGAGGTTCTTGGAGCGAGGTGGGGGGGTGGGGAGGGGGTTCGATCAAGAGGAATGGGTTCGGGTGTAGTTGGGGAGGAAGGAAGGGTGTTGGGTGGCTTGTGTATGCGCCTTAATTTATCTCTATTGTCTCTCTTTCGTCTCTCTATTACACGCATGAAAATTATATGTTTTATGTACATATTGACATATATATATATATATATATATATATATATATATATATATATATATATATATAATATGTATATTATATATATATATATATATATATATATATATATATATATATAATATATATATATATATATATAATATATATATATATATATATATATATATATATATATATATATATATATATATATATATATATATATATATATTATATGTATATATATATATATATATATAATATATATATATATATATATATATATATATATATATATATATATATATATATATATATATATATATATATATATATATATATATATATAATATTATTATATATATATATATATATATATATATATATATATATATATAATATATATATATAATAATAATATATATTATATATATATATATTATATATATATATATATATATATATATATATATATATATATATATATATATATATATATATATATATATATATATATATATTATATAT